TGGTGGTGCAATGGGCCACTTGACTGGTTTTGCCCCCCAGGCCTAAGGCTGCCAGCCCTCCCCTGTCTACCCCCCAGGGAGTTACATTCATCATGTGATCCAGCTCAGTGCCCTCTACCCCCCAGGGTTTTAGAAGATAGTCGGCACCCATTTCTTCACCTTTAACTGCATCTGGAACATGGACCAGGAGATCCTCCTCTCCAGGCGGAGAGTCCTCCTCGAAGTCCTCTAGCCGATGGTACTCTCTATACTGATCCTGATCTCCCATCGCTCAGGGCATCCTTCCCTTCCTGATGAAACCTGTGAATAGGAGGCGCATGGTCTTAGAACAGCCGATCCTTGGGGTGCAAAATCTAAAAAATATTCAACAAGCAGACAAACAGGACCACATTATATACTGGACGGTGAATCGACACACACTGCCATTCTCAGAATCACAAGAGAGCGGCTGATAGGAATTGCCACAGTAACGCTGAACGCAGTTTCCATAAAGCAATAGCCTCCAAAATGGTGAGGTTGTGATGTCATGTGATTTACTGAATAAAACATGAAATTATCCAAATTGTCAGAGAGAGAGATAGATAAATAATGTATTATAAAATATATAGATAGAAACATAGAATGTGACAGCAGATAATAATCATTCAGCCCATCTAATCTGCCTGGATCCAAGGATAATATGCTGCTACTCCCCCGGGCGCCAAAACACCACCACGCCAGCATCCATTATGTAATGCAGTGTGTGTAGTGAATGCATTATGTGTGTTATGGATGCTGTCTGGGTTCGTGTCGTGGATGTAGTGTGTATTGTATTCAGTATGTGTGTTGACTACATTGTCTGTGTGTGTGGAAGTGGATGCAGTGTGTGTGGTGGATGCAGTGTTTGTGTGATGCATGCAGTGTTTGTGTGGTGGATGCAGTGTCTGTGTGGTGTTGGATAAGTGCTGGGGGCACTGCCGGATCCAGGGCAGGGGCAACGGGGCAATTGCCCCCCCCGAGATTCCCCCCTGCCGGCTAACGCAGGGCTGGCATTGCCCAAGTGCCAGCCCTGCAATGTGCCTGCGGACCGGGGAGGAAGATCAGAGATCTCCCTCCCCGGTCCGCAGGCACCGTGCTGACAGCCGGCGGCGGAGGGAGTGAGAGAGAGAGAGGACCCGGAGCTCAGTCTGCAGCTCCTCCGGGTCCTCCTCTCTCGAGATTTGGAGCGTTGCCGCGGTTACCAAGGCAACGCTCCAAATCTCGCGAGAGTGAACTCTAGCCCGGGAGCGCGGGCTAGAGTTCACTCCAACCACTGGGACCACCAGGGAATCACCACTGGGACCACCAGGGAAATGTCCCCCCTCCTCCTAAATAAAGGTAAGAAAGGAGGGGGGACATAGAATATTTATTTTATTAAATTTAAAAAAAGATTATTATTAAAAAGCCTCCTTCCCTCCCCCCATTACACACACTGCCCCCCATACACACACACTGTCCCCATACACACACACACTGTCCCCATACACACACTGCCCCCCATACACACACTGCCCCACAAACACTGTCCCCATACACACACTGCCCCACAAACACTGTCCCCATACACACACTGCCCCCCATACACACACACTGCCCCAAAAACACATACAGTGCCCCCATACATACACTGCCCCCTAACACACACACTACAACCCTGACATACACTGCCGCACTCACACACTTCACCCTTAACACACACCACTGCTCCAATACCCTATATCCCAGCAGACCCAGGTAAGTTGTCAAACTGTTCTTAAACGGTATGATTACTTACTCTGGGGTGGAATCCTGGCACTACTGACACCATAACTACTACACTGAGCTGTAGTGGTTATTGTGCCTGGATTATTTATTTAAATAATCTACAAGTTGAAGTGCCCCTCCCGAGATCAGGCTCTGGATCCGCCACTGGCTGGGGGGGTGTGAACAATTGAAATTAAATAAGGATTATTCCCCTCTCCATGCCTTTTAACTGTAGGCAATAAGAGGGGCACAGTGTGTAGGAAGGTGACAGTATAGGGGGGCAGTGTGTGGGTAGGCTGTGAGGGTGACAGTGTGGGAGTGCAGGGTGCGGCACAGCAGGATGTTGGGGGAAGGCTTGGGATAGCAGGGTGGGGGGGCAGGCGTGGGATAGCAGGCAGTGGGGGGCAGGCTGTGGGAGGGCAGGCTTGGGATAGAATTGTGTGGGGTGTGGGGGACAGGGTATGGAGGGCAAGCTTGGGATAGGAGGCTGTTTAAGGGCAGCCTGTGCGGGTCATGGTGTGTGAATTTAAGCCGTGGGGGTTGGTTTGTGGGGGCATGGCGTGGGGATATAAGATGTGGGGATGCTGACATTGACATACCTTTTCCCTGGTGGTCCAGTGGGATCGCTGTCCTGTCTGCAGCTCCACCTGGTGTGAGCTGCAGACCAAGTGTTCGAGTTCTAGAGAGCCACCTCGCTGAATATCTATGCAGCAGAGGCGGCCCGGACTCTTAACGGCCAGGGTGGCAAAATCGTGGACGGGCCAGCCCTGTACCTATCCCACGCATGCTTAAACTTCCTCACTGTGTTAACCTCTACCACTTCAGCTGGAAGGCTATTCCATGCATCCACTACCCTCTCAGTAAAGTAATACTTCCTGATATTTTTAAACCTTTGCCCATCTAATTTAAGACTATGTCCTCTTGTTGTGGTAGTTTTTCTTCTTTTAAATAGAGTCTCCTCCTTTACTGTGTTGATTCCATTTATGTTTTTAAATGTTTCTATCATATCCCCCCTGTGACAGACCTCCCTGTCTCTGGATCATCACTTAAAAACTTGTTTTGTCTGTTTGTTCGTTAATTCCCGGTTGTTCGTCTATTTCCCTGGTTTCATTCACTAAAACGAACTAACTACCGAATGGCTGGCCACCCAGCAGGGAAGTGTGCTGCTTGTTAATCTTTTTGACCTCTTTGACACTGTGGTTAACCTCAGTGACTTCCATCTCCCGAACGGTCAGCTGGGTGGTCATCGTTCGTATGAACGAACACGTGGCGGCGGTGGCTATCTTAAACTATCGAACGCCCAGCGGTGTTTTGTCGTCGACCACATGGAACTGCTTTCGGTCACTGTTTCACATGAAAATAGCTGGGACTTCCAGACGTCCATCATTTCGTTTAGATTCATATGAACGCAGTGGCGTTCAGTACATTTAAACTCACGAACCAGACCGACCCTGAGGACTAAAAGCCATGGAACTAATTCTAGACATATTTATACCGAATGGTCGGTGAAAACACTTAAACCCCATGGCGATCTGTGTTTGTGGGATCTGAGCTCTTTTCGGATATATTGAGCGCTCCGATCCAAGCTATCTGGGTATATGTCGAACATGGGGGTTTAATTATGGGAAACATGTGTTACGTATTTTAATACGTTTTTGTTACAGTTTTAACTTAAGAATATTCTCTGTACCTGGAGATAATTAAGTTTACTACGGCCACTTAACCCAATTATCTCCAGGATAGAGAGAACGGATTTTACTGTGTATGTGGGAGTGTTTCATATTGTATTGTATTTTGATTGGCTACTGTAATTGTATTCCAGTCCTCCACAACGTCCCTGTGGGAGTATCCCTTGCTAGAGGACCTGCCTAAAAGGACAAGCTGTGGCCACCATTAAAGAGTTCATGCTTGACCCCCAACACAGAGCCTCATCTCGTGCTTGGGGGGATATTTCTTCAAGGTTACTGTTTAGCGCTTGGGATTATTTGGTAGCAGACTTCATACTTGGGGGAAAGAACATCTTTTGACGGCGTTAACCCCTTCTCATACCCGGGGTGCCGTCACACCCCCCTGTCTTGTCTTTCCTCCAAGCTATACATGTTAAGATCCTTTAACCTTTCCTGGTAAGTTTTATCCCGCAATCCATGAACCAGTTTAGTAGCCCTTCTCTGAACCCTCTCTAAGGTATCAATATCCTTCTGGAGATACGGTCTCCAGTACTGTGTACAATACTCCAAGTGAGGTCTCACCAGTGTTCTCTACAATGGCATGAGCACTTCCCTCTTTCTACTGCTAATACCTCTCCCTATACAACCAAGCATTCTGCTGGCATTTCCTGCTGCTCTATTACATTGTCTGCCTACCTTTAAGCAGGGCCGGACTGGGGATACAAAGCAGCCCTGAAATTTTTTTAATTTTTTTAAAATCTATGCCAGCCCCATAAGTCATTGTGCCATATATTGTTGCATGTAATATGTAAGGCTATGTCTTGCCACCCCAGATGATTGAGTACACATATATATATATATATATATATATATATATATATATATAAAACAAAAATAGTAATGCACTCCACCTTCCTTGATGTACTTGCCCGGTGCTTATCAGCAAACAGATACAGCCAAAAGTACAAGATAGCACTCCAGGGACTTCCAAGTTGAATGAATAAAACTTAGCTTTTATTAGCTCAAAATAAAAATCAACGTTTCAGTCTGTATCACAGACTTTCATCAGATCATCCTGATGAAAGTCTGTGATACAGACTGAAACGTTGATTTTTATTTTGAGCTAATAAAAGCTAAGTTTTATTCATTCAACTTGGAAGTCCCTGGAGTGCTATCTTGTACTTCTGGCTGTATATATATTTATTTTTTTTTGCTTTTTCCTAATATAAAATTTTGATCCTTTCAGAGTAAAAAACATTTAATTATACAGTAAGCATACTCACATGCAGACACACAATCTCACTGATACACAGCCTCATAGACAGACAAACAAACAAACAAACAAACAATCTCAATGATATAAATCAGCTCATTGACATAAAAACACAAGCTCACTCACTAGCAGGCACACACACACACAGCTTAATGTAGTGGTTCTGGTGTCTATAGCCTGTCCCTGCAGGCGTTTCAATGTAAACACTAACTTTTCAGAGAAAAGGCAGTGTTTACATTGCTTCCTAGTGATACCTCTAGTGACAGTCACTCAGACGGTCACTAGAGGTGCTTCCTGTGTCAGTGCTGCACAGTGTGCAACACCTACATTCAGAGCATCCACACTCTGTAGGTGCTGAATGTTCCCCATAGAAATACATTGATTAAATGCATCTCTATGAGGAGAGGCTGATTGGTGCAGCATTTTGCAGCCAAGCCTATGGAAAAGCATTGGATTGGTTGAGATTATCAAGCTTGATGATCTCAGCCATAGAGGCAGGGCAAGTCAAGGGGAGACCAGCATGGTGTAAAAAAATAAAAATAAAAAAAGTGAGTAAAAACACTATTTTTAAACACACCATGACACATGACAGACACAGAAACAAACACACACCATGACAGACAGACACCATATGACAGACAGACACACATTATTTTTCCCTGTCATGCAGGGCAGACGGTTGGGTGTGATGGCAGCCGCAGGGGGAGCTGTGATGGCGGCCGCAGGGGGAGCTGGCTGTGCTGGCTCTGCTCCCCAGCACGCAGCTTAATGAGACTCATTAAGTAGCGCGCGAGGGTGGGAGAACACAGCCAGCTCCCCCAGCGGCCGCCATTACAGCTCCCCCTGCAGCCGCCATCACACCCAGCTTTCTGCCCAGCCCTAGATGCTGACGGCCCACCGTAAAATTTCCCAGTATCCCAGTGTACCAGTCCGGCCCTGCCTTTAAGTCATCTGAAATAATTACCTCTAAATCCCTTTCCTCAGATTATTATTATTTTTTCCATTTATATAGCGCCAACAGATTCCGCAGCACTTTACAACATTATTAGAGGGGGGATTTAACTATAAATAGGACAATTACAAGAAAACTTACAGAAACGATAGGTTGAAGAGGACCCTGCTCAAACGAGCTTACAGTCTATAGGACAGGGGTCCTCAAACTCCGGCCCCCCAGATGTTGCTGAACTACAACTCCCATGACTCTCTGGCTATCTATGTAATTCAAAGAATCATTGGGGGTTGTAGTTCAGCAACATCTGGGGGCCGGAGTTTGATAACCTCTGCTATAGGATATAGATGTTGAGGTTAGAACTCTATCAAAAATTCTGTCCTCTGGTTTTTACGTCCAAGATGCATTATCTTGCACTTATCCACATTAAATGTCAGTTGCCACAATTCTGACCATTTTTCTAGTTTACCTAAATCATTTGCCATTTGGCTTATCCCTCCTGGAACATCAACCCTGTTACATATCTTAGTATCATCAGCAAAAAGACATACCTTATGTAGCGGAGTAGTAGTATTATCCACGGTATCTCCGCTGGTAGACAGAATCAAGCAGGCACAAAGCAGGTAAAATCCAGGTAGCGTAGTTACAATCCCTTCCTCCCAAGAACTAGACGACACATAGCTTGGAGGTCAACTGAGGTTTATTTTCAGGTCACGGTATTTATGGGATTCCCCATGCAAGGGGTTTCCCTACTGACATTTCAGGGGTTGTACAGTAGGGGACTACATGGGAAACTAACCAACACATACATTTTTCCCATTATGCACTGCTGGACGAGAGGGATACTCCCACTGGAATATACCGTTAATGGGATTATCCCTCCGTGCAGCAGAACTTACATTTTACATTAAAATGTATAACTTTACTAGTATTGCCCTGATTTACACGAATGGACGTTCGGTAGATAGCTGGAGGCTGAGCGCATAGTTCGTGAGAATACCGCTCAGCTCCCAGTCTAACTAACCGAACGCCGCACGAAATACACATTATTTCTAACATAGGTTTAAAATACCGATTATTATAAGGGGAATAAACTACCGAAAGGCCGGGGTTCACGAACGGCCTGGAAATCCAGCGGTGTTCGCGCCGTCGAGTAGCCGTTTTTAGTTCCAGACGCTCGACGACAAAACACTGCTGGGCTAACAAAAGAATCAAGATGGCTGACCACTGCGTGGTCGGTAGTCGAACAACGGGCACCTAGAAACACACTTAATTACCGATTGCAACATTGTGTGTGGTCGTGCATTCGGTATATTATTCGTTTCACGAACAGTGTTTAAACTCACTGTTCGTGAAACTACATTATGAATGCTGGGGTTTTCATACCGCCAGCATACGAATGCCCTAATTCGCCTGAAATACAGATAGCATTCAGCATGGATCTTTATGGCTTATCAAGAATACACACATACTGATATATTAATAGTCTCTAGTGGCTAGGTTTGCCACACCTTACCATCAAGACCTTCTGCAATATCACTAATAAAAATATTAAAGAGAATGGGTCCAAGTACAGATCCCTGAGGTACCCCATTGGTGACAAGTCCAAGCTTCGAATATTCTCCATTGACTACAACCCTCTGTTGCCTGTCACTCATCCACTGCCTTACCTATTCAACAATATTGGAATCCAAAGTTAAAGATTGCAGTTTATTGATAAGCCTTCTATGTGCAACAGTGTCAAAAGCCTTACTGAAATCTAGGTAAGCAAGGTCTACTGCACCACCCTGATCTATAATTTTAGTTACCCAATCAAAAAAATCAATAAGATTAGTTTGGCATGATCTCCCTGAAGTAAACCCATGTTGTCTCTGATCTTGAAATCCATGTGTTTTTAGATGTTCAACAATCCTATCCTTTAACATGGTTTCCATCACTTTCCCCACTACTGAAGTAAGGCTTACTGGCCTATAGTTGTCCGACTACTCCCTATTACCTTTCTTGTAAATGGGCACAACATTCGCTAACTTCCAATCTTCTGGGACTACCACTTAACAATGATTGGTTAAATAAATCTGTTAATGGTTTTGCTAGTACACCACTTGTAGCAGACTCATTCCCTTTTGTTCAGTTGTCCGTACCCACTTGTTCGTTTCCTGAATGGATGGTGTGTGGTTCCCCTTGTATACCTCCCCCGAACACCTACCACCCCGGCTGTTAACCGCAATTAACACATTAGCTCTAATGCATCCCCTGGGTGGCTGCCCTTTGTATAATCGAATGCACGTATTCTAGTAAATGGTGGTCATTTTGTCTCCAGAACACAGACAGCAGTACATGGTCGAACGCCTGGAACTATTTTCGGCCACACAATTCCATAAACCCGGGCAAAGATTGTACCGTTGCCCGTTTAACGTCCAGACCAACTAGACGAATGGCGTTCGGGAGACAGGAACTACCAACTGTGTGGACCATTCAG